TTTTCCACTATACCTTTCTCCCTGTTGGCTAGGAGCGAATATTTTCTATTTTTTCCTCGTCGGCCCCATGAAAGAGAGCACAAACCGTTTCCCATCCCCGTTGACCATGAAGATGAACACATCAATCGCAACCCCCCATTGTCAGACAGAATCATCAAATCCAAAGAAAGCATCCGACGGGCTGACTGTGAATTCCCAATTCTTGAAAAGAGTACCCACATCAATACAATGTACCTTCCCGAGGACCAAACTCTTCTCTTCGAGACTCTCAATTTACAGGGTCAAAGCCACCCCCAGCCCAAGTCCCCTCAAAGAAGCCCCTTTTCATGATATGATCAGAGTCACTAAAAAGTCCAGCCTTTGGAAACATAATCACACATCAAACATCACAAAGTACCACAAAAGTAGGGCAGGTCAGCTCCCGTTAGCTAAAAAGTCTAAACATTCCCCCCATCTAGACCAGATTGCCCCAGTCCAAAATACAACCGTACCGAGGCGAGGCGAGATAACGATCAAGTCCACCTCTTCTTGACCCCACAGGGCATTCCCCCTCTCCAGCGGCAGCAACAGAGACAGCCACCAAAGAGGATATCTTTCCCTCATTAGTGCAGGTCAATTTTACCTGCGCCAAGGACACAATGGTTGCAAACGAAAAGCCTGAGAGCCAGCCTGGAGAAAGGGGAGAAAGAGAAAAAGTGTTGACAAGTAGTCAAGCCAGAGCCCATATCGCCGATACGCCTGACCCCAAATTGCTTTTTATTTTCTCAAAGTCGTCTACCACGAAGACTCCTTGGCGGGCTCAGCAGCCCAGTCGGCAGCGGGAGCACCAGTGCCAGTCTCCCACTGGGCACCCTGGGCCTCGGACCACTCACCAGTGGCAGCACCGGCAGCGGGGAAGGCAGCGGGAGCAGCCTCCCAGTCACCACCAGCAGCGGGGAAGCCGGACTCGATGGCGGCAACACCCTCCTCATCAACGCCGGGGAGCTTCTCCTCCTCGACCTTCTCCTCAGCCTCAGCCTCGGGGTCGCGGTCTGTGATGCCGAGTTAGTTCTTGTCCTTTCTGCGACGAAAATAGGGGTATACATACAAAAGTAGAGATCGACCATAACGTCCCAGGGAGCCTCGCGGTTGTAAATGGTGCCGCGGAGGCGGAGGACCTCACGGGCGAGCATCCACCAGACGAGACCGATGGAGTGGCGACCCTTGTTGTTGGTGGGGATGGCAACATCGACGTACTCGGTGGGAGAGTCGGTATCGCAGAGGGCGATGACGGGGATGTTGACGTACGAAGCCTCCTTGATAGCCTGGGCATCAGTGCGGGGATCGGTGACAACGATCAGGCGGGGCTCCTTGAACGACCGGGTGATGTAGTTGGTGAAAGAACCGGGGGTGAAGCGACCAGCAATGGCCTGAGCGCCGGTGTGGGCGGCGAACTTGAGGACGGCACGCTGACCGTAGGGACGGGCAGAGATGACGCAGACATCGCTCGGGTTGTCAATGGCGGCGATGATGCGGGCAGCGAGAACGATCTTCTCCCTGCAAACAGTGTTAATCTCCACACTTCCTTCTCGAATTCGTGGTGTTGGCCCGTTCTTCGCGAATAGCTTCGCCGAGCCGAGTTTCCTCCACATACCAGGTCTTGCCGATGTTGATGATGTTCACACCGTCGGCGCGAGTCTTCCAGAGGTAGGCTACAAGCAGAAACCTGTCAGATAACCCAATCTTCTCTTCGTTCGTCAATCGGTCGTGAGGGGATTATTTACGCTGCGCATGGACACCCAAGCTGTGAAAGTGAGGTTAGCAAAAGATCGTCAGCTTTTCGAGATTCGAGATGATCGTACTTCTTGGAGCCGATGTGGCACTGAGCAGCGAGGAGCTGCTCAATGTCCTGGCTGGTGGCATTGAAGATGGAGGGGAGGTTAGCGGGAGCCATTTTGACGGTGCTTTCTCGCGGCAGGACGTGTCGACGGGAGAAAGAGGTCGAGGCTATTGACGTTCTGGTGGGATATATTTTTTCGGGACTCCGCGACGGCTGCAAGGCGGAGCTACAGGAATTTGGCACACACAATTGATTTTGTGTGGGGTGCCCCGCCAGGGTTGTGTGGTTGGCGAGCCGGGGGTGCACTGGGCAGGTGATTCTGCCGGTCCGAGTGCCAGCTGCTGAAGTGAAGTGCTACTGACCGCTTTTGCCAGGCAGAATTCAGCCCCGGAATTTTGAGGCTCCGTCTCGCCGAGTTGAGGGACCCTGTCGGGAGAGGTGAACATCCGCTAGTCCTGGCCCAGTCTAGCGCAAACGGCCCCAAAATCTGGGAGATGCAGGCCAGCCGTGAGAAAGTTGTGAGCAGTGAGCCGACGTACGGATAGCGATTGAAGGTCCGGAGAGCGCTGGGAGACCACCCTCAACGCCAACCAAGTCAAGATGCCTCCCAGGTTACCCGTCCCCCAGGGGCTGCGAACCCTTTCGCGTAAGCTATACCTCAGCTGCCTTCTATCTTGCGCCTGATATAGAGACATGCGCAACTAACACAACCCCCCAGTATGCCTCCGCCCATCTCCCGCCTCGACGACAACCCCAGCCCTGTCCCACCTCCCCCTCATCCAGACAGCCAATGTTTCCCAAAAGACCAAAGAAAAGCGCAAGGAAATGAAGCGCCGCATGAAGCAAGACCCCTACGGCTGGGCCCAAACCCAACAGCGCAAAAACGCCAACCTCCGCCGCCGCGCCGAGCTCGAAGCCGAACGCAAAGAAGCCTGGGGCTCCCCCATCCACGGCATCACCACCCCCTTCGTCGAATCCTTCGACTCGGGCGGACAAGCCCCCCTCTCCACCCCCCCAGTCGACGGCGACGGCAACCCCCTCGCCCCCCCTCACGAGCTCCCCACCTCCACCCACCTGGCCAACTACCTCCTCACCAAAGAAGAGATCGAGCAGGCCATTGAGCAGTCCAAGCGCCTGACCAAACCCCTCGACGAGGACACCCACACCGACCTCAAACAGCACGAGGAGAACGTCTCAAAGGCCATCATCGCCCTCCAGCGCATCACAGACCTCAACAACGGCTCCGCAAAGGACAGGAAACACGCCAACAAGCGCCGCTGCATCGAGACCTTTGGCCGTCACGTCACCGACGTCACCCTCGACCACGCCGCCCCCCACCCCTCCATCAACGCCCCGCAGGGACCCAAGCCCGTCCGCGCCGGCCCAGACACGGGAAGCAGCGAGGTCCAGATCGCCATTCTAACCTCCAAGATCAGAGCCGTGGCTCTCTCGCTCGAGGGGCACAAGGGCTACAAGGACAAGAACAACAAGAGGAGTCTGAGATTGCTCCTCCACAAGAGGCAACGGCTTCTCAAGTACATGGAGAAGAAGGAGAGGGGGAGTGAGCGGTGGCAGTTTATGCTCAAAACGCTGGGCATCACCCCGGCGTGCTGGAAGAACCAGATCGAGGTTTAATGAATTATACCCCCTGGGAAAGCAAAAAAAGTGAGATGTGTATAAAAAAGACAGCAAGATGTATAACGTCCTCTATGTACAATATACACAATACCGAACCAAAAGAGACGAGACAAACCCCGCCATTGTGAGAGAGAGACGACACAAGGTCTCGTCGTTGTAAAGATTCCACATCGCCAATACGCCTGCCTAGGGTGCTACGAGTACAAAAAGAGCAAATAAAAAGTCAAAACGCATGCTTCTGAACAGGGCGCATTAATACTATAGAGACATCAAGCTCAGCCTGACAATGAAAAAAGACACCAAACCATCCGCCCAAAACCAGGTCAGAACACACTGATGTAATTACCAATGCGCTCCTTTTGGTTCTGAGCTATGCACTCAGATATCCACTGAATATTGCGGACCTCCTATTCATCGTGTTAGTTCCATAACCATTTGTGAAAAAGCAGAGAGGAAAAACATACCTGCTCCTTCAGCTTAACAAAAGCATAAATAATACTCGCCCCAAACTGCCTCGTAAACGCCCCCTTGCATATCTCCATCTCCTTCTGATAAAACATATCCTCCAAGCTCTTCCCATCCGACCCCGAACCCCCTCCCATATTCCCCGGTCCCCCCGGACCACCTCCTAGTCCCGCAGCCTCAAAAAACGACTTGTAATCGTGCACCCCCTCCACCGCAAGCCTCACCCCTTCAAAATCATCCGCCCTCGACAACATCAACGTCCCCTCGGGATAGAGCCGGCCAAAAGTGGGATACAACTTGTTACGGTCCTGCTTCGACAGCTCCGTCCCAAACGAGTTCAACGTGATGTTGATCGCCCGCCTGTCCGCCTCAAACTCGAGAATTTCCGTCATGACCTCGCTTGTCGGGGTGCCCGCCATGTCGGGGTGGGTGTTGACAAAGTTGTAGAAATCCTCCAGGTAGTTCTTGTAGAGTGTGTTTCTCACGATCTCAATGTTGAGCTCGTCCAGGTCTTGGTGGGAGAGGCTGCCTTTGAAGTAAGGGGCCAAGGGGGTTTCGATGAGAACGCTGTTGTAGAGCTCCTCGATGTTGGTGGCCACACAAAGAACAGGCATGGTCTCGAACCAACCCAGGGGGTGGCACCGATCGAGGAGCTCGCGGGTGTCGCGCTCGTGGAGGGTGCCGGTGATGAGGAGGGCGACATTGTCAATCATGTACCCGTAGGTGATGTAATCCATGAACTTGGCGAGGGAGCCCACTGCGTTGGCGCGAACGTAGCGGAACTCGGAGACGAGCTTCTCGGTTGTCTTTGTGGCGAGACTGGAGGTGGATGGGTTGGGGGGCAGGGTGGAGAGAAAGTCGCCGTATGCGGGGCCGAGCTGGAGTTTGAGGTCGTCGATGGTTTCGCATTGGGTCATGTTGGTGTAGTTTGTGCTGGTGAGGAGGCCGTTGCGGTAGCCGCGGATGATGCCCTCCAGGTAGCTTTGCGGGGGGGTGTCAGTGTCAGTGATGGGGACCCTTGGGGTAAGTGATGCATCATGCAGATACATATGGAGGTGTTATGTTACATACCCATTGTTGACGTTGAAGAAGAGGCCCTCCATGTTGGGCAATGTTGATCTGAAGCTTGGAGGTTTAGATGACCGTGACAGAGAGTCAGTCTCCTAAGTGTTGTTGGAGAGGAAGCTTGAAGGTGAGGCGCGGCTCAAGGCGGCGTTGATGTGTGACGGGAACTTGGTTGTCTTGGTTGGTCTCAAGGTGTAGTAGGTAGGTGGACCGTGCAGCAACAACGACGACGCAACAGCAGCCATCAAGCCTCAGTCAGCTCTTGGCTTGGCTTTGTGGTGCCTGCGGTGAAGTCTAAAAAGCACCTTGGTACAACGCACGGGCCCACACTGCCCCCACCTGCGAACTCCAACTGGTGGTAAAAAAAATTGATCTTTCGCTCTTGACTTTTTTTTTTGCTGCTGCTTGAAGGTTCTGGTGAACAGAAAGAACGGCACCCATCGACAGCTGTTTCCCACCACTTCCCACGACAACTGCAGGAGCACATCGGCTCAGCATCGCACTTTGTCGCCATGGGTCTTTTCATTCTTACCGAAACCAGCGCCGGGTAAGTGCCGACTGTTCAATGGGCCCTTCTCTCTGTAGAGACGCGATTGCGACTGCTTGACTTGAACAAGAGTCGCGACACACCTGAGCCGGCATTGAACATGACAGCTAACTCGCCAATGCAGTTATGGCCTGTTCAAGGCTTCCGACAAGAAGCTCTTGGAGGACGACAACCTGACCGACCGTCTTTCCACCACTGAGAAAATCGTCAAGGAGTAAGTTTTCACCCAGCCACCGAAAAACCTTGACAGCAAGAACCAGTACCAACCATCGCAACAGGATCAAGTACAAGGAGTTTGCCAAATTCGACAGCGCCGCCTCGGCTCTCGAGGAAATCTCGGGCCTCGTAGAAGGCAAGGTCACACCACGCCTCCAGAACCTCCTCAACGAGTTCAAGGATGAGAAGAAGGTCACCCTTGCCGTTGCCGAGAGCAAGCTTGGCGCCTCCATCAAGAAGCTGCCTGAGCTCAACATCAAGCCCATCTCCGATAGCACCACGAATGAGCTCTTCCGCGCCATCAGACAACATCTTCCCGAGCTTGTCCCCGGCATGCTCCCTGAAAACTTCAAGGAGATGTCTCTGGGTCTGGCCCACTCCCTCTCCCGCCACAAGCTCAAGTTCTCTCCCGAGAAGGTCGACATCATGATTGTCCACGCCGTTTCCCTCCTTGACGATTTGGACAAGGAGCTCAACACCTATGCCATGCGCGTCAAGGAATGGTACGGCTGGCACTTCCCCGAGTTGGCCAAGATTTTGCCCGACAACCTCTCTTATGCCAAGATTATCGTTACTCTGGGTGTCCGCACCAACGCTCCTGAGACCGACCTTTCCGAAATTCTCCCTCACGAAATCGAGGCTGCCGTCAAGTCTGCCGCTGATATTTCCATGGGTACCGAGATCAACGAGGAGGATCTCAACAACATCAAGCTTCTCGCTGAACGTGTCATTGCTCTTTCCGAGTACCGCAAGCAGCTTTCCGAGTACCTCGAGAACCGCATGAAGGCCATCTCCCCCAACATGACCGAGCTTCTCGGCGCCCTTGTTGGTGCTCGTCTTATTGCCCACGCTGGTTCCCTCATCAGCTTGGCCAAGAACCCCGGTTCTACCATCCAGATTCTCGGTGCCGAAAAGGCTCTTTTCCGTGCCCTCAAGACCAAGCACGCGACCCCCAAGTATGGTCTCATCTACCACGCCTCCCTCGTTGGCCAGGCTTCTGGTAACAACAAGGGTAAGATTGCCCGTCAGCTCGCCGCCAAGGTCGCCCTTGGTGTGCGCACTGATGCTCTTTCCGAGTTCGACGAGGATGTCGATGATGAGACTCGCGCCGAGCTCGGCATCAAGTCTCGCGCCAAGCTCGAGAACAGCCTGCGCTTGATGGAGGGTAAGCCCATCTCCACCAAGCTCGGCCCCAACCCCAACAACATCACTGTCCCCAAGTGGGACATCAAGGAGGCCCGCAAGTACAACGCCGATGCCGACGGTGTCGCCGCTGAGGCCGAGACTGCCAAGCCCCTCATTGAGGAGGTCGAGATGGAGGACGCGCCTGCCGATGAGGAGAAGGCCAGCAAGAAGGAGAAGAAGGAGAAGAAGGAGAAGAAGGAAAATAAGGAGAAGAAGGACAAGAGCGAGAAGAAGGACAAGAAGGAGAAGAAGAAGTCCAAGGAGCCAACAGAAGAGACCGAAAGCCCAGCCAAGACCAAGAGCTCCAAGCGCAAGCACGATGATGACGAGGAGGCGGCGCCAGTAAAGGAGAAGGAGCACAAGAAGAAGAAGAAGAAGCACAGCAAGGAGTAAAGCGGTCTGGCTTTGCTACCTCGAATTGCTCTGTAACTTCTCTTGTTCCTTACCCTTCAGCTTCCTCTCTCTCTCTCTCTCTCTCTATATCTTCTATTGTATGATACTCCTTTCGGCACATTTTTGGGCTTGTTGTTGACTCTTCGGCGTTTGGATTCGGAGTAATGGCGGCGTCTACGGGGGCATTTGTCTGGTGTGGTCTGCGATACTTAATGCATGTGAAGCGCTGCATTTTTACATCGTGATGATAAAAGGCAAAAGGGCGAAAAAGGAGGTGCCTATTGTGTTTATGTAGACCTCTGGTGCATAAAAGAATAAACGTTTTGGCCTAGCTTTGTCTTATTGCTTTGTGATTTGGTTTGAAGTGAGAGCTCTTTGGGGACGAGTTTTGGATGCTGCGGATAGAATGACACCCAGACTGCCAACTGTTTACAGTGTTTGAAATCTACCTAGGGAGCTCCTTTTCAATATTGTTCAAGTATGTGTTCGCCAAATGCTCGGGCATGGTGTGTACGCCTTGTTGTCTATCAGGCAGCTTGTACGATTGCGTAAAACTTGGATAGGCAACTCTTGAATTTCTGCTCTTCTGTGCGAGTTGGAGACCGTACGGATCTATCTAGGTATCTTCTTGAAGCATATTTCTCTATTGTTAATGGCTACCTAGCTAGTTTAACATGTTCTTGCTCACCTTTTTTCCCCTTTGGCATCTGCCACTTGACCGACCCCAAACCGGGCGCCCCACCTAAATTTCGTCACTGCTAAGGTGCCTCTACACCTTGAAGGCCCTCCTCCAACCTGCGACCGCTTTTTTCTTCTTCTTTCCTCTCAACAACCACAACAAATCCCCAAAATGGCGGATGCAGACCCACCACCTCGTCGCCGGTCACGATCACGAAGTCGATCCCCGCCTAGACGACCAAAAGCCAGCGGCGGGTTCAAATGGAAAGAGAAACGTCCTACTACTAGCGAAGACAGTCGCGGCGGTGGTCGAGACAGCAGCGACAAGAACCTCCAGCGCGGCTACCGCGACCGCTCGCCCCGGCGTGATCGCGATCGGGATGATAGACGGGATAGAGACCGCGACAGCAACAACGATCGCTCAAGGCAAAATCGCTCCCCGACCAGACGAGACCACGACTCTGCTGCTGCCCCCCGGGAACGGGATGCCACTCGTGACAGGCGCCGCTCCCCAAGACGAGAGCGCTCGCCACGACGGGACAGACCAAGGGATAAGCCAAGAGAAGAAAAGAAGGAGAAGCCCAGGCAACCCATCGCGCCACAAGAAGAAATGATTGTCGTCACGGTGAATGATAGACTGGGCACCAAAGCCCAGATCCCCGCTTTTCCCTACGACACGGTCGGCCAGTTCAAGATTATGGTCGCCATGAAGGTTGGCCGGGAGCCGCACGAGATTTTGCTCAAGAGGCAGGGGGAGAGGCCGTTTAAGGATCATATCACGCTGGGGGATTACGGGGTTAGTAATGGGGTGCAGGTTGATTTGGAGGTTGATACTGGGGATTAAAAGGGGTCGATCAGGATCTATGGAAGGGGTGCACAAGGGGAATGGATGGGGAGGAGGATGTTTGGCTGGAGTGTCATTGCGTTTGCGAGAGGTGGTGGCGTAACGGAACGATCGAGATTCCCCATGAGCCTATAAGTGGGTATAAAGTTTTTTAAGTTTTTTTTTCAAAAAAAAAAAAAAGGAAAAAGGGCCGGAGCCCTACGCAAGAGACGGGAACAGTGGCCTTTTCTGTTGTGATAAAACAAGAATTAGCCTAGTAACGTGAGGCTGGAATAGCCCCGAACGGGTGGCCCTTAAGTAAAAAGTCTGGTTAAGGGCTATCTATTCAGGGTTCCAGGTTGTTCTAGCCTTACGTTATTATACTAAAGTTTGGTGTTTGGTTTGCTACAGTAGGAAAGGCCGCTGTTCGCTTTTCTTGCGTCGGGCTCCGGGCCTTTTTTTTTTTTTTTATTTTTTTTATCCAAAAAAAAACATTACAATCAATCATAGAGATTCTCACGCTTGGGCAAGTAATGGGGAAGGGGGATCATAGAGTTGGGCACGATTTGTCGTGTTGGAGAGAGGTCACGGTTAAATCACGGTATAATAAATTACCCTTTGCAATCGATCAAGGACGATTCTCTCCTTTCACACTACTCCAATCTCACAAATGGGAATAATCAACAGATAAATTAGCACGGCCACTACTCCCAGCACCCCCTCTCAGGATTGTACACCATACCCTCTATATCCTCCATGAGCTTCGGCCTCGAACCTGTCTTCCCATCGTCGCTCGGAACAGGCAGAGGCATAGGCACAAGCTTGGGTGACGGTGCCCTAACACTCTCCCCATCACCACCACCACCACCACCACCACCACCATCAGCAGCAGTGTTCACCTTGTAAAACCCCGGGCCCTTTTGCGACGGCGAGGGGTGATGAGGGTCAGATGTATTATTCTGAGTATGAATCTGGAGTGTTGTGCTCGGCCTCGTAGTCAATGGTGTCTCTTTGCCTCCACTGCCAGAATTGGAGTTAGGGGCAAAGATGGGTGCTGATCTTGTATGGCTGTGGGTGGTGCTAAACGTCGAAGAGGACGGGTAGGCGCCTTTCAGGCTAGGGGGTTTATTCCTTATTCCTGGGCGTCTCTCGTCGTTGTCGTCTGAAGTGGAGGAATCGTCGTCCTCTGCTATGGTGCTTGTTGCGACGGTGTCGAATTGGGAGGAGGCTGGGGTTAGGGCAGAGCGGCGACCGAGGGCGGTATAGTGTTTTTTGAGGTCTATTTTATTAATTAGTTGGCGGTTTCTGGGAGAGGGGGTGGGCTTACGGTCTAGGCAGAGGTACTCGACGATGGATTGTTGGAGGCATTTGGGTTTGGAGCAGCCGTCTATTTGATGTCAGTATCTGCTATCTGCCGGAGAGGTGGTCAGATAAGAAGGTCTCACGGGATTGACAGTATATGGAGAAACTGTTGACGAACTCTAGGCAGTCTTCGGCTCGGCAAGTATCTGTTCTCGTGTTAGCATCCGGTACTACTTGTCAAGGCAAAGCAAATATCTCTTACGCAGTGGGCAAAACCTTCCAGTTTTGTCGGCGATAGGATAGGCGCAGTCGATTTCCGCACATCGATCTGTCCAAAGTCAGTCTCGGTTGCAGTTACAGGGAGGGGGAAGACTAACGATCATCACAATACGGCTTCACTCTGGCGCTCTTGTTGCAACCCCTCTCTCGACAGGTATGGTCATCGCAGAAAGCTGACTGTCGGTCCAGTCTCGTCTGCTTACATCGGGCAACTGGGCAGGTGGCATCTGAAAAATGTCATGGTTAGACTGGACACCAAAACTCATGAATAAGCAGGGACATACGGTTGGTGCAGTACGGCAAATATTCCTTTTTGTTGGGTTCAAAATGCTTTGCTCCTCCGCAGCCGTTCATCTCGCATGTCATATCTGCATTTGGTGGTTAGCAGCTGTCCATGATGGGATTCAGCGGTGGCACCCACGGTGAGCACAGAGGGTATGGTTGCCTTCCACAACCAAGTCGCAGCCCCTGGCGTGACATCGGTCTTTTGAGCTATCGTATCAGTACCGTCTTTCATAGAGTTTGAAGAGAATGAGGTTGCACATACGTTTCTCACAACACTCAAGCTGGTCCTGGCGCTCGTTGCCACATCCGTCTGCTCTGCACCCATCTTGATGATATCAGTAACCATACTGTGTGTCAGAATTGGAGGGAAATACTCACGAGCCTGACAGAAGGTAGTACTAGTCGACGCTCTTCGCTGTGCGCACCTCGGAACAATGCATTTGTCTTCACAACCACAGTCAGCAAGCAATCAAAGCTTTGGTTACCGAGAGAAAAGACATACGGTCAGCACACACTTCATAGCGAGCATATCTCGGCACAGCATTCGAGAGGGGGTCAAAGTTGGGGTCGAGAAACTGAGCCCGAGCTTGATGACAGTCCGGGATGGGACATCTCGTGTCTGGTGGCATTGTTAATCACCATCACATCACACGGCAGGTTGACATTTCAGGGTCAACATACGAACAGCACAAACGGTGTCATGGGGAGGCTTCTTATTAGTACAGCACTCTTCACGGTGGAAGTGAGCACAAGTGTCTACCGCATCTCAGTTCGCCTTCTCATCATCACAATGTCTAAGAAAGGGACCTTACGTTGCTTGCAATAAGGAGAAAGACGTCGCCCACCAGCTACCGATCTCCTATGATCGCGATAGTGGTAGTGGTCTAAGTTCGGCTGATGGATGTTGAAGCCCCCCTCAAGAGTGGGCTTGAATAAGACCTCATTTCCACACCCATCACTCCGGCATTCGATTTTGCGGTTCATGTTGAGTTTAGTTGACCAAGAGTCGAAAGATGACAAGATTGATCATGTAGGGTCTGCTAATGGGTAAGATAGGGTAATATATTCAGTTGACGGGACGGTCACCAGCTTGGCCGGGCGTCGCGGGGTCGACACCATCTTTCCGTGCCTTCTTGCGCCACTGTTACATCTGCGTCACATGAAACTTGAGCGTTTGGCTTACAGCTGCTCGATTTATTTGGGAGTGGAAACTTGGTTACTGGTATCTTGAATGATGGTATATGGTATTGTGATGGATTTGAACGACTTCTGTCGTTGAAATCACAAACGAAGATTTTGGTGAGCGTCTATGGAATTGGTCGAATGCAACCTCTCAAGGAGTAAAACCTGAAGTGGGAAGCCTAGTCAACAAATAAGAAGGGTCCCTGGCCTCGAATCACCCTTCGGGTTAACAGAAACTGCCAACAAATGCCAGTTGCACTTTCCTGTTGCCCGGTTTCTGACCGAGGCTCTGTGAACGAGGAAAGAACGAGCGGCGAGCTCCTGCTTGTCCAATGGCGAAGAAACCTTGAGTGTGTACCAGCTGAATAGATAGGTATGAATAATACGAACCGCAAAGGGTTGGATATTCCACTTTCTTCCTGTTTGTTGTTCTATCGACCACGAGCTGAAGACCGTCTCATCGATATCAAGAGGGTGGCATCACGTGACAGCGCACCATCGACGCGCTTCCTAGCCACGTGCACGCTTGATGAGACGCGCCCTTGGAGTGACATCGGTCCGTCTTGGTAATCATGGACAAAGATCACCGTTTGACTTTCCTCACAAGAATTTGGAATAACTTCTTACACCTCCATTCATACGCTGAAGCAATATCCTTTTTGCTCCAGATTTTTGTGCTTCGTTGATCAACTCCATAAAATCGCCACCCCATCTCATCCCGGAGCTTGACTTCACCGCAATAATCGATATTCCCTCCATCATCTCCAAACCACAACTGAATCAACCGCCCAATCAACGCCACAATGACAACCCTAACAGCCCCCCCAACGACCCCCTTCACATTCCCCTCCCCCAGAGACTCCCCAGCATTCTTCCCTCCCACACCCCCATCAACAACAACCCCTCTCCTCACAACCACCGCCACCACCACAACCACCACCAAAAGAAAACACTCCTCCATCTCCACCGCCCCCCAACCCCCAAACTACAAAACCCTAATCAACACCTCCCCCAAAATCACACCCTTCGAAAAAAAAGTCTACCACCTCCTCCTCACCATCCCCCCAGGCTCCTTCACAACCTACGCCTTAATGTCCACACATCTGAAGTCTTCCCCCCGAGCAGTCGGCAACGCCCTAAGGAAAAACCCCTTTGCTCCCGGGGTTCCCTGGTATGTTTGCCCCCCCTTCCATCATACTTGAAAGCTAACTCGAGGATAAAGCCACCGCGTCCTAGCAACAGGCAACTCCCTAGGCGGCTTCAAAGGCAAAATCTCCCGCAAAAGCCCCGACGGTGTAGGAGGCGTAGACGCCCTCATCGAGAAAAAAGAACTCCTCAGAAGAGAAGGCGTTAAATTCGACGACAAGGGGAGAGCCCTGGGGACACCGTTCAGGGGGTTCAAGTAAAGAAATCACCCCGTCGAGAGGTGTCTTTCAGCCCTGATTGGACCGTGGCTCTGTTGCTGCTGGGTGTATGGTTTTGGTGGTGCGACAGGGACATCAAAAATCAACAACACAATTCACACGCAAATAATAGTATGAGCCAAGTATTTATTTTCGCCCATCCTATGATACAACTCCAGACCCCCTTTTTTCCCCCTTCAAAAAGAGAGCCAGAGAGCCCACCAGACAAGCAACTCGTTCCATACCTGCGCCCATAAAAAAAACCAAAAAAAAAAAAACCGCAGTTCACAAACACCCAACCTAATTAAGCTCGTCTCGCAAGTCCCGTGTCGTCCTAGGACTTTGCTTGATTATGTTGTTCACCCTGTTCATAAAGTCCGTCCGCCCCGCCATTTCATGTCCTGTAGTTGCCACCATATCTCTCCGCCGCGCCACCCATGATGTTTCCCTCCAGAGTCCGTTTTTTGTTGATGCCCTTTGTAATGTACATTGCCAATTAAGGCCTGCAGAAGCGGCCGCAATGAAAATTAAGTAACCCTCCTTTTTCTCTTTCTAAAAAGCTCATACAAGCCATGCTCCTGTGTGAATTCCTGTTTTTGGTATGTGTGCGTGCAATCATATGGGAAACGCCGTCAAAACCATGAAATGCACAACGACGAACACTCTGGTCAACCAGAGATGCGAGACGAGATCAACCCTGTGTGCGCCCATCCCAGAAACGATCAGACCAGGATTACTAACCCTGGCTTTCTTCCCGGCGAGGACGCGAGGGGAAACCCCCGCGATCACCACCACGGCCACGACCGCGTCCACGGCCATCACCGCGGAAACCACCACCGCGGCCACGGAAACCGCCACGACCACGGTGGCCACCATCACGGCTGCCACGGCTGCGGCTCGGGACCTGGTGAAATCCATCATCGGCAGGGGTGGTAGCCTCGGCCGCCGTCTCGGGATGCTCGTCAGCCCACGACTGGTTGGTAACCGGGGCAGTAGGCTGGGCAGGCGTAGCGGCCGCACCGGTCTCCGTCTCGCCGAGATCGCGGGGAACGTTGACACTAACCCATTCCTGCGAGTCCGAGATGGTGTTGCCGGTATCCCACTGGTTCTCGCCAGCGGCATTGGCGGCGCTGTCGGCGACATCGGCGTTGCCGGGAGCACCGCCGCTAGCAGACGAGACGTCCTGGCCATGGCCGTTTGTCAAAGCGACGGCAGAGCCATCGTCAACCTCGGTGAGACCGGCATTGGCAACTGTTGGGTCAGTCTCGACCAAAACGGTCGACTCGTACTCGTCCAACTTCAGCTCTTCCGCAAACTCGGGCTCGGTTGGCTTGGGACGCTTGTAGTTTGGGTTCAGATGGGCATAAGCCTCCTCCTTGATATCGGCAACTACAAAGAGTTAGCACACCTTTGACAATAGCGACCGATCAGCAACTTGCAGGTAGTCTTCAGTAACCTCCCCTCAACACCAAGGACGCGCTCATCTGATCCCTGGACCAACTTGAGCATCTCGGTGACGGAATCATTATCACCACAGTAGATATGGAGAAGAACACCTTCGATAGCCGCATTCTCATCAATCGAGCTATCAGCCTCGGCGAGACGGCGGGCAGCAGCGAGACGAAGGAACTGCGAGAGAGCCAAAAGGTAGCCCCTCAGTTTCTCGTCGGCCTCGGCCTCGACCTTTTGCTTTGTCTCAGCAACAAGCTCCTCCTTCTCCTTCTCGAACTTCTCCTTCAGCGTAGTCTCCAGCTGGCTCAGATGGGAACGGTGGTCGGCCTCGATCTGCTTGTGCATGGCAAGCTCCTTCTCGAACTGGGCGAGCTGGTTCTGAAGGGAGGGGCGTTTCAGGTGCGAGGCAGCCTGGTCGGCATTGATGATCTTGGCAGCTACGAGCTCCTCGAGCGACTTGCCACTATGCTCGTTGATCAAATTCTCGATTCTAGCACCATTAGACTAGGAAATCGGTCAGCGGATGGGAGCAGGCGAGGTGGGAGTGGCGTGGCAGCCAACTTACGATCTTCTTGTTGAGGTTGCGGATGTTCCTGCAAGCACGATGCGTCAGCAATTGAATCGACTCATTTTGTCTGGGGATACTGCCTACTTGGAAAGCTCGCGGATGTAGCCATTCTCAGAGCTGTCATCTGGGTTCTCGCCGCCGGCAACGGAAGCAGGGGCAGGAGACTCGGTGCCGGTAGCGGCCTTGACAGCAGCAGCAGCAGCCTTGGCCTTCTTCTTCTGGGCGGTTTTGGACTCGACGGGCGCCGGAGGATTCTGGACAGTAGTGGGAGCCATGGCGGTTCGATGTGAATAGTACAATTGAGCTGTGGTGTTGTGGTGAGTGTTCAGCCCAAACAGAGAGCTCTGGTCTTAAGGCGCCGCTAATTGTGGGGTAGAGACCAGACGGATGGAGTCGGTGGCTAGGTTGCTTGGTGGGAGGAGGTGGGAGGTGGGATGCAAGAAATGGTGGCAATTCGAGATTGGCTCACGACTTCTCAGCAGAAATCGGAAAAAACAGAGATTGGTAGGTTTATGTAGGCAAGGTATCAAGTAAATAAAGAGTCGACTTGAAAATTTGAAGCTGCAAAAGAAAGCGGCGTGCTTTCTTTCTTTTGGGAGCTCCTTCCCGCCCCGGATTTCTGAAAGCATGGGCCAAGCCGTCCACGCCTCACACACGATTGGCTGCCCTTTGGAGGCTCAGGCTGAGGGTTTGGAACCGTGCAGAAGCAGCAGGAAACAACAAGGCAGCATAACCATAGACAACGGGTGCCTACTCAACCATCTATATTGGTTTGATTACCAGCTGCATGGTGCCCACCTATAGACATAAAGTGTTCTGATTTGCAGTCACACAATGTCTCCTACTCCGAGATATTCGCATTCATCCATCTCGGTGCACACCTCCCCACACCCGATCTCTCTCTCGGTCGCGGGCTCCGTCTCGGCCGGGTTGATCCCCACTCTGCCGGGCTTTGACCGGACCTCAGTGAACAGACACGGCGTCATCAAGCCATTCTCTGCATACAATAATACGAAGCCAACGGCAAAACTAGTTTTGGGTCCCTTGGCCTTGTCGCCTTGTCATTCATCCTTTGAACTTGGCCAATGAATCCTAGAAAACACAAGGTCAGCCAGTGCTTTGCAAACGAGAGTAGGGTTGCTTACCGCCGTCACCTTCTTCACACTGCGTGCCGTGATGCCCCTTTCACCACCCTTTTTGGCTTCAATGGAGGCTTCTTTCACCAGACTACTTTCAGTCAGTATGTGCCATCTCATAGGGATGGGTGATGATGAGCTTACTCTTGCATAAACAGCATGTAGTCCAGAAAGATCTAAATCCTGGTTAGTCCCAAAAACACGCGTGAATAAAGACTTGAAAATGGCATACCATGACATCTGCGTTCTTGCTCACGCTGCAATTGGAGTGAGCCTTGACGATTTTCTTGACCGTCGCACGTGGATACAGCTTTTGACCGGGCATTTTGACTGCTGGAATTGTTGATAAAACGCGTGGCACACAGTGACTCTTGAAGAGAGCAATAGATAAATGAGATGAAAGACCGACACCTTTCAAGAAGAATTGAGAAAACGAGGTTGATGATGATGAAAGAAGTGCTGGTGCTTGTTTGTTGACTTGCAGGTTTCAAAGGTGTCTGGCCAATCGGAGAATAAACAGACCTCGCCCCACCTTCAACCTTGTAGATCTCTGATGGTGGGGTCCCCCCCATCCCACCGAGTTGAACGACAGCTTTCTGCCTGACAAGACGACAACCCTTCTTGAACTTCCAGATATCCTCGTTGCGTGGAATAGAGGAAAATAGACAAAACCCGCCAAGATGAATTTGAGCAGGAGAATGGTAAGATTTCCGTCGATGGGCCTGTGAATTCTGCTGTCAACATTGCTAACTCTCACCCAGTTGACCAAGGAGGAGGAGGATGCAGTAGGGGATGAGATCGAGGTCCGCCGTGAGGATCAGGACAAGATCAATAAATTCAGCCGCCTCCACTCCCACGAACTCACACTCGAGGAGGAGCTCAAAGTAAAAAACGTGAGACAACTCTGTTCACAGCTTCAGAAACTAGCCTTGCTGAACCCCGCACAGAAAGAAAAGGAAGAGCTTGACGACATCACGACGGAACTTGAGCTCGCCGACGAGGATGACCTTGTTCCGTGAGTTTTTCTCTGCTTCCTGCATCATTATCTCCCGCCACATGCTCTGACATTTACCAGGTACAAGATTGGAGACGCCTTCTTCCACCTGCCGCTACCACAGGCACAGGAGCTCCTTGGCCTCTCAACAGCCAAGATCGAGGAGGAAATCGGGGAGTTGGAGGACAAGATGGCCACCATTCGGGAGGAAATGACGCAGCTGAAGGTGGAGCTGTATGCGCGATTTGGAAAGACTATCAACCTCGAGACATGATGGGAGGAAATGGACAGCTCTTCTTTGCGAGACATGTGAAACATCTTACTGCATGTCAGCGGTGATGGCTCCCCGCATTCCCCTGCCCGACGTCTGCACTTTTCACCTGCCACCGTTCCCCGACATCTCCTGACTCTGTGAATCTTGCAGGAAAACGATGGGGCAATGATCCAAGTTTGAGAAACCACCCTGTGACCAACTCGACGCCTGGTTTGGGATGGAGGAGAGAGACCGACACATCACCACTTGTTCGGGACTCATTTGATCTACTGGCTACAGTGCCATTGGAGATTCGTTCATGAAGGGGTCTGGGTGTAGTAATTCGTAAGCTACATCCAAGCACGATAGTTGGGTTGGGCATTGCTAATGCACATAGCATCCCGTCTTGCGCGCAATATCAAGAAATCCAATCTGAATCTCCATTAAGACTTGCTTCGTTAATGTCCCACAGACGTGAGTTTGACATCATCCCGCTAGGAACGCGTCAAAACTTAGTAGCAAGACCTCGATGCTACGGCCCGGTAGTTTGGCCCTACGACTGAGCCTTGCGCGTTCCAGATACCCTTTCCATGGGCCAGTTTCAGCCCCAATCAGGGGGGAGGTCCCCTTGTGAAGTAGCCACCACGTACTACATCTTCGAGCTGTGGTATAGTGGGTGTTCAGATACCCGACACCCATAAATGCAGGGTGCGGGACTTGACAATTGACCGCCAAGTCCTGCAGATGACTCCTTATTTCTCGGCCGGGCCTCTGAGATGCCTGGTGCTGTCTTCGTCCATTGTCACGATATGATAGATCATGACAGCTCACCGTCAACTCACACACCCTACAGGAGTCGAGATGCAATGCTATCGCCGAAAAGAAGGCAGCTCACCTCACCTTCGTCGGGCCTGCAGTTGGCCCAGTCTCGTGGTGCACGTTATCACATCGACGCCGTTCTAACTCTGTCCTACTAGACGGGACATTAGACCCATTAGTCCCGTCTTTTCGAAAGCTAATTCAACGGCAACCGGGCTATCACCGACCCGATGGTTACAGAGGACCAACACATTACCTCTCCTAGGGTCTTTTCAAGCTTTTCAGGAGAATATGCACAGTGATGCCCGGCAACCAACTACCTTGGTGGCCTTCTTTCTGGTGCTGCGGGCTACACTCTGACATGTGTGATCGGTTGCTTCAGCTCGCCCACGGCGCCGTCTGTCCACGCTCTCTCGAGCTGTGGATGGGATATTTGATCTTCTGCTCCCCGGAGTTGGATTTTTGCTTCTGGCCAGACTTGGTGACTGACACTTCGACCAATACACTCTTTTACAATCACCAGGGCCCTGTCCTCCACACCCAACCTTCACCTCCTGGCTGTAGATTTTGGGTAGTCGATCAAGCTTCCTGATCGCCATGGAAGAACCACAGCGAACCAGCAGCCAGTACGACGGAGGAGACGATGTTCACCACAGGCCATCCTTCCAGAGCTATCATGACACTCAGACAACACTCGATGTTCCCGAGAAGTCTGATGAACCCGTAGTTGAGGAACCCAAAGACGAAGAAGCTATCCGGGAGAGTGAGAAAGAGGTCGAAGCACCACAGGAGAAAGACGTGATCGAAACGGTCTCGGAAGAAGCAACTCTGACGCAGGTCCCCAGAGCGTTTCCGTTAATCAGGACCACACGAGCTCGCCCACCATCCGCTCTTCGTGCCACAGTTTCTACACCAGATATGTGCCAGCGAGTGGTATCACCCGATGGATCGGTGAAACGGGAGTGCTCCTTTGATATTCTGGGCTTGTCGAAAGAGGAAGTTCAGGCTATCCTGGCCGCCGCTGGAGGCACTGAGGGCCGAGGGGTGTCAATGGCAAGCACGCAGCCCGCGCGAGATGTTGGCGAGAGCAGTGGGGAGAACCGGGAAGAACCCCAGGTTCCAGAGCAGGCTCATCCTCGCTGCCCAACATGCATGAGCATTCTCGCCGGCGAGCTTGATATCGCGGCCTTTGAACCCGCTCAACAGCAACAGCAACAAACCCAATACCCCCAACCACCAACCGGAACCCTCACCAAAAGCTCCTCCCTCAAAAAGTCACCCGCCACTTCTACCCCCTTTCCATACTACGCCTCCAGCCACGCCACCTCGGACGATGAAGAAGAAATGATCGTCTCCTGGGAACCCGACCACGACACGGGCAACCCGCACGAGTGGTCCCCCGGCAAGAAAGCCTGCATCCTCATCACTTGCATGATGCTCATCATCAACTCAACCATGGGCTCTGCCCTCCCAGCCAACGCCCTGCCTTTTATCTCAGACAAATGGGACATTACCAACGAATCCCAACAAGTCCTCCCCATCTCCGTCTATCTGATCGGCTACGTCATGGGCCCCATCCTCTGGGCCCCCCTTTCCGAGCAATTCGGCCGCAAAATCCCAACAATGATCACCTTCCTAATATTCACCGCCTTCACCCTCGCAACCGCCCTCGCAAACAGCTGGATCTTCTTCCTCATCTTCCGCCTCCTAACCGGAACCTTCGCCTCCGCCCCCATCGCCATCGTCCCAGGGATAATCGCCGACATCTCCCCCAACCCTCGCACTCGAGGGAGGAACATGGGGTTATTCTTCATGACGACCGTCTCCGGGCCTTTACTCGCCCCAATCATATCAGGCTACTGCTCCGAAACAATCGGCTGGAGATGGGCGTTCTGGATTGGACTTATTTACGCGGGATGCACACTTGTCCCCTTGTTCTTCCTCCCAGAAACATACGGTCCTGTCCTCCTCAAGCGACGCGCTGAGGAGATTCGCCTTCATGACGCCAAGGCTAGGGTGGTGGCGCTGCATGAGATGGAGAAGAAGTCGTTCAGGGAGTTGACGACTGTTGTTTTATACCGGCCCATCAAGATGCTCGTCACGGAGCCGATCGTTAACACTTCGTGTGCTTACCTCGCGCTTTGTTATGCCATCTTTTACATGTGTTTTGAGGCGTTTCCGATCATTTTCACTGGGGTTTATGGGCTCTCGCCGGGGGAGTGCGGGTTGACGTATCTGGCCGTTGGGGCGGGGTGCTTACTCGCGTTGCCGATCTTTTTTGTGTGGGATAGTGTTCTGAGGTCGGCGATGGCGAGGAACAAGGCGTGGACTAGACAGGAGGAGTACAGACGGCTACCGCTCGCGTGTGTCGGGGGGCCGATGTTTGTGATTAGTCTTTTTTGGTTGGGATGGACGGCGAAGGAGGGGGTTCACTTTTTTGTGCCGATGCTGGCGGGGGTGCCGTTTGGGGTGGGGTTTATGTGTATTTTCCAGGCTCTCTTGTTTGTCCCCCTCCCCTAACCCCCCTTCCCGTGATAGTTACTGATGTTGGGTGTGATGGGGATAGGAACTATTTGACCGACGCGTACGAAGTCTACGCCGCGTCTGCCAACGCTGCCGCGTCAACCTCCCGCTCTTTGCTCGCTACTGTCTTGCCTTTGGCTACTCTCCCCATGTTTGAGAAGTTGGGGATAAGCGGTGCTTGCTCGCTGCTTGGGGGCGTGAGCACGCTCATGTGTGCTATTCCGTTTGTGTTTCTCTGGCAGGGGGACAAGATCAGGTCCAACTCCAAGTTTTGTCTTGCGATCCGGCAGCGGAAGGAGGAGCAGCAGCAAAAGATTGAGGAGCAACGGAGACGGTCACAGGCGAGGATGCTGGAGAGGGTGAGTGCCCGGGCTGGGGGGGAAAAACAAGTGGTTATCCAGGGGGAGAGGGTTGGGAGTTCGGGGAGTGATCAATCTGGGTCCGGTGGGATGGGGGAGGGGTCATCTGGCAGTTTGGGACAACTGCCCGGGGTGAAGGTTGTGGTGGAGGAGAAGGAGAAGGGGAAGGGGGTGGAGGTGCGAAGGGTAATAGTTTAACTAGGAGGTGAAGATTGGGTATTATACGCCAGATGTGGGGGGCCGTGGAGTACGAAGGGTGCAACGGGGGTGATGGTGGGACAGGCATAATACGGGGCGTTTTTGCTTTCTCTTGACCATCTTTTGACATTTTAGTTTTTATTTTATTTTTTTGGCTTTCCACGGCGGAGAACGGGCATTGAGAATTTCCCATCATGTATAGAGAGCATCAAACTTATAGATATCAAAATACTCAGCTTTCTTTGTACCTTTCAACACTTCAGTTCTTCAGAAACGCTTGGGCTCCAAGACATCTCCATCCCCCCGTCTGTCTTCTATTTTTACCCCCCCCCAAAAAATAGGTAATACAACAAAAGTCGGGTATATCAGAAAGCCCAAAGCCACTCAATAGTTCAAACACCCCTCAAAAAGGTCCGCTTGATGAAAAAGTGACAGTATACAATATACAAGCATCTCTTTCTCCCACCCTCCCAAAAATGACCAATCAACCAACCCAACTCAATGCTAGTAGTTTATCAAATGTTCATCCCAGTTATTCATCATCCCGTCCAAAAAATCAATTGCCATGTGCCCCCGACAAATATAACAACATGTAAAACGCCGGTTTCCCTCGTGCACCGCATCAAAACAGGTCTCTTAGCCGACAAGACGCTACAACACGTCATCCCGTGGTTGGTTGCTACCCAGGATCGATAGCCCTCCCCCCCCCCCCCCTGCCTCCCTCTACAGGAAGTAATCACCCGGCCCTCTCCTCCCAGCTGGCACATGGCGCTGATCATCCGGCACAGCCGAGAAGATGCTAAACTTGGTATTGAGCTGCTCGTCCACCGTCATGATCGACGCCACATTACCACAGCGATAGCAGTAATTCGGTGCTGACCAGACCGTCACCACCGACCGTTCGCTAAAGTGATACTAACAACATCATTAGCAAACATCCCTCAAACCCCCCAGACACACAGAATCCCGAAAAACACATACCTTGTAACCCTCATTCACCAACTGATGCGCCCTCGCAATCGTCTTCAGCCCATTCACGTGGTTAAACTCGGTAGCGACCTTATCGCCAAACAGCCAACCCGCTCCTCTCGGGCTCACCGCCCACGTGTCGATATCCTCCGGGTCACTCCACACCAAATCGCAAAACGCGCCTTCATGCGGGATCTCCTGCGCTCTAGCCACAACACGGATCTGGTCGATGGTTCTAATTTCGGGCGACAGGCCGCCGTGGACGCACAGGACGGTCCCGTCCACGATTGCTGCGAGGACTAGAAAATCAAAGACTTGGCAGCAGGCCTTCCAAACGGAGGCGTTGCCGTATTTTTGCTGGCATTCTTCGTAGAAGCCGTAGACTTGGGTGATTTGACGGGATTCGTGGTTGCCGCGGACGAGGACTATTCTGTCGGGGTATCTAGGAAGGGATGTTAGTGGGGGTTGGGCTCAGAAAGGGAAGGGAGATCCAGACTTGGCTTTTAGACACATTAAGAGAGTAAATGTTTCCAGACTGAAATACCCTCTGTCGACGAAATCGCCCAAAAAGACAAACTTGGTGTCTGCTGACTGGGTGAGCCCCTCGTTTGGAGGGAGGATGGCCTCGGTGGTTGTGTCCCCCTCGACGATCGTTTCGTTTGGATCTGTACTTATTGGGGCCGGGCCAGAATTTATGACCTTCTTTTGCAGCTTGGGATCGGTGATTTCGCTCGGGGGCTCAATGTCGTCGGATGTGATGACTGCTGTGACTGTCTGGGGCGCCTGGACGTTGTTGTCGCCCGGCATGCCACCAGCCACTCGGAAGAGCTCTAGGAGATCGTAGAACTGGCCGTGGATGTCGCCGCAGATGGTGACAGGGGTGACTACTGGTTGGATGTTGGACTCCTCCATCAGGACCTCTTTGACCATTTCGCAGAGCTGCTTCATGACAGACTCTGGTAGGTAGTGGCATTGTTTTGCTTCTTCGAGCCACTCGTCGAGACCGGCTCCGGGTCGGAGATTCGCCGGGCCCGGCTTTGGCGCTGCGGTCATGGTTCTGGAATTAGGGGGTTGGTGGGGAGGGAGGGAGGGGAGGGGACGAGGTATTGCGCAAGTGTGTTCTGGACGGTCGTTTGTTTTCGTCGAATGATGCTTGTTACACACGGAGCGATAGTGATCTCGGGGGTATCAAATCAAGGGCAGGCCGAGAATAGCAGCAGCAGAGCTTATAGCAGCCAATCTCGGTCGAGAAGTAGTAGTTGGTGATTGTGTAAGGCGGGGAGCGAAAGCAGGCTCTCTCAGCCGAGATTTACGCGCTCAGCGACGGCGTCAGAGCCAAGCACTCAGCCAGCAGCCAAGTTGGTGGTGGGATCAAGATCATGGTCCGTGCGTTGCCAATTGGAAGGGGACCCTGATGACATTGACAGGGAAGAGGCTGATAAGGCTGGCCCCCACCTGTTTATCGGAGTCTGGATTTCTGGGGCCCTTCAACCTTGTAAAGCCATCTCTCACTGTCACTTACCCTCACACAGTCACCAGCGCCCTTTCACTCAGTCACATGTTTCCTTTAGACGAAGGGACTGTGAATTCTCTACCAGCTGTCGCGCTTTCTTTAATCATTTCAGTCATTTTAAAGACCCATAAATTGCGTGGCGCAATCAGTGTTTTCTGAGAACCCCGCTTACACCGAGTGAGCCAACCCACAGACATCGAGCATTAATTATCATCATACCTGGTAGCCTCATCATATCTGGTTCAACCACCACACAGCTTGACCATGTCAACTCCACAGTTGTTATCACGAAAGGCAAACGGCACTACAGCAGTCGCCCAGTCTTCAGCCGATTCCCCAAAAGCAACCAAGACCAAGGCACACGCCAATGGAGAAAAAGTCGTGATCCGTCGCCTACCACCAGGTCTCACCGAAGCAGAGTTCCATGCCATTTTGGGCAATGAATGGAAACTCGGAGATGGCAAGGTCGACTGGTACAAGTGGTATCCTGGTAAGGTCTCGCAACAGTAAGTGCCATGATCAGACAGCCTCTCGCCCCATATTGACATGAGACTAGCCCTTCAAAACCGTCGACACCAGCTCGGGCATATCTCCATGTCTCGCAGAGAGATCAGTTGCCAGAACTCCTCCGCAAGGTACAAGAGGCCAAGTGGGAAGATGCGAAGGAGACCTACAACGATCCAGCCCTTGTCGCTCCACCAACCGTCGAGTTCTCCGTCTACAAGAAGATTCCCAGCGAGAAGAAGCGTGTGGACGGCCGACAAGGGACCATCGATCAAGACCCGGAGTTCATGGCTTTTCTGGAGAGCCTTGCAAGCCCAGACGGGAACAAAGAGGGTGTCACTGCTGAACCGGAGCCCGAAGAGGAACCCGAAAAGACCACCACGACACCTCTGATTGAGTATCTGAAGGAGAGGAAGGCTGCCAAGGCAAAGGAAATCGCTGCTGCTAAGATCGCAATGAAACATGCCAGAACGGAGTCACTGACTGGGAAGGGCAAGGCACCAGCTACCAGTGCTGAGGAACCCAAGAGGAGAAGCACCCGGGACAGAGAGTCGAGAACCGAAAGGGAGAGGGCCACCGAAAAGGCACCCGAGAGGCCCAGGGAGTCGGTCAAGATCTTGACCAAGAAGGCTGTTGCCGCTGCAGAGGCTGCCGCGGAGGCTGCTAAGGTGGCAGCCATCCAAAAGTCAACTCAGTCCAGCGCACCATCCGCGTCTTCGGAGGCTCCATCGAAGAGCCGTAGGGCAGGCATTGCTGCTGCTGCGCGTATCCTACAGCGTGACCTGGGTCTGAGCTCTAGCAACGCTCACCGCAAGGCCAGAATGGATGCAGCCAAAGCGGATGCCGATAGCAAGGGCAGTGCTGCGAAGGGACCAGCGAAGGAAAATGTCCCAATCGCTCCTGAGCCAGCACCACCCGCCCCTCCTGCTCAGCCGTCGTCATCTGCTCCACCCAGGTCGCAACAACAACAACAACAACAACAACAACAACAACAACAACAACAGCAGCAGCAACCAACAGCTTCTTCCAATAGGTCTCGCAACAGAAGACGGGGCGGCGGTGATGAGGGTGGAAAGTCAAAGGGGGATAATAAAGCCGACAAGCAGGCCGACACAACGCCTCCGGCACCAGCACTTGCACCAGCCAAGCCTGTGCTTCTTCTCAAGAAAAAAGAGACACCACAGGCCCAGCGTCAGCAGCCATCAGCACCTGCCACTCCTGTTTCGGCTACGGCATCACAGTCTACACCGACGACAGCCGCACCCTCCCAACCTGGTGCACCGAAAAATGCACCAGCAAAGCATGGCGGTGGCGGCCGAGATTCCAAGAAGAACGCCGGACCTGCTCCCAGTTCAGGCGCGACACGAGCTTTCATTAAGCATGCAAACCACTCACAGGGTGTCACCGAGGCGCTGCTCAAGGATGCCTTGTCGGCGTATGGCACTGTTACTTCAGTGGATATTGATCGCAAAAAGGGGTTCGCGTATGTCGATTTCACAGACCATGCTGGGCTCGCCAAAGCTATGGCCGCCAGCCCGGTCACGATTGCGCAGGCTACAGTGCAGGTGCTGGAGAGGAAGGATATGACGGCTAAGAAGGGGGGGCAGTCGTCGGGTTCTACCCAGGGGAAGAATGCCGCTGCCTCTGCTTCTGCTACTACTGCGTCTACGCCAACCCCAGCTCCTGCGCCGGCAGCTGTGTCGAACAGTACCGCGCCGGAGAAGCCTGCTGGGGAGCAGCAACCGAAGGAGAGCAGGCGTAACCCGCGTCGGAGCAAGCGTGGTGGTCGGGATAACAAAGATAAGGATGGGAAGGAGGGTGGTGGAAAGGGTGGTGGTGGAGGTGGCTCTGCACCTGCTGCCGCTGCTGCTTCTTGTTAAAGATAAGGAGTTGGAGGGTTATACTTGCCGCCGGACAGCGTGAGAGGGTGATTTGGCCTGCTGTCTTCGACGATAATGCCTGCCGAGGGCCATTATAGCAGAGAAATAGACAACCAGCGAATATTTTCATTTAAAGTATCTTGGTCTGCAAGACCTTATTTCGGATGGGCTTGATGTGGGCCAGGTGTCAGTCGATGTTACTCATTTAGGACAGTGAGGACCAAGGCAAAGACCTATTCGAAGGCCTTTAGCAGCGACCACTTGGGCCGCACTCCAGGTCTAAAGTGATCTACGACCTGGTTTCCGGTTTGCCCGAGTTTGCGAGGCCTGTAGTATCGGGGTGCCTGTAGGTTCATGCGCACTATCGCCAACATCGCTTTCAGTCATCAATGTAAACGACTGTCCAATCATAAGATGTGACTGCACCACTACACCAAGAATATGCCAAAACGCCTAGTCGGTAAGCATGCGAGAGAATTCAATCCCCAAACAAAGGAAGAATCGAACAAACGATGGTTTCAGTGGTTCCAGGCTATGGGATCGGTACCTAAGAATTGAGGCGAAGTCACGGAGCCTGGTTGAAGTCTTACTCATACCGCAGCTGCGCGTCACAGCTACTACACTTGTACGAATGTCGGACTTGAAGTGAATGGGTGGAGGAGTTCAAATACCACTTGCTGTCACCGGCCTCTAGCTGTTGATTTCTCAGTTGTGGCATTTCGTCTTGTGGCAGCAACCATGGGAGTACTCAATCGACACCGCCCAGCGCACAACGCGTACCTCTGGAACACGACTCACAACCTCACGATATGGTAAAATGGAGGGGGAATACAAGCACAAGAACTGCCATGCCCCGGGTTGGGGTGTGGTCTAGATTGCTACAGCAAGACCACCTAGGTGGATGACCGGTCCTACGGAACACGACAATTCTAGTCTACGACGGCCCACGAGAATACAGAACCGATCCCAGCATACTGGGGAACATCGAAACTTTTATACGGCCGTGATCAAACGATACATAAAATCATCCCAGCTTAGGAAGAGGGACCATGAAACCAGACACTGCAGAAAGGCCGAGACCCATACATAGGTTGAACAAGTCCAGTCAAGATCACCTTTGCGGACTCTCGGCACAACTGGCTTTACTGATCGGATCGATATGGACGACTGCCACAATCAGAATCTGTCGAGAAAATCACACGATATTACACCAAAGGTCCTGGAGGCCGAGGTTACAACGTTGAACAACTGCACCCATCCACAACACCACCCCAATCTACCTTACCCACCGTGAAACACCAACAACCTGGAGTGGTCATCAGACTTAAAAGAAGCGGCACGACTGGGACGACGTTGAACACAGTCGGGATTCTTCTCGGCCCAGGAAATAGCTGAATGCGGATTATGTCTCGATCATGCAGTTGTTAACCGAGCACTGGTGTGAAGGAGCAGGCAGGCACATCACTGAAGCTGGTGTTTTCCCACATCGGCTTTTTTACCTACCTTTCGCCAACTTCACCCGTACAACCTGGGCTTCCTTTCAGTTGTTGGTTGGATTGGCATTTGTAAGCATCAGGGTTCGATATAACGGTTCTGAGAGTTCGCGGTGTCGGCCTGAACACCTCGCTTCCAACTTACCATGATTGGGGAGATAGGTACACAAGAGCGAGCAGACAGTTGGGACGGATGCGATGTACCTACCGCTTCCTTTCCCCCAAAAGGCAAACACCGCATGAAGAGAAAGGGGTACACAGTTGATCGTCGTTGGTTGGTGATCACAGATGACCGAGAAATGGGCAGCCACTTTTTGATAGGTACGTTGACACCTCCCGCTCTCTGTACATGTTGGAAGTGGGTGTGTGGTTTGGTCCGCTTTGATACACAATCATCTCGTCTGGCAAGCATAGATAAGAGAGGCCCGAGGGGATGTTACCTACGTATCGAGATCTGACCCAAAAAGGTGGACGTGTGAGTTGGGATTCCTTGTGCTTCCGCTCGGTCTTTGTCCTCGTCTCACAGGTCTACATATCAGGAGTCAGGGAAGGTCAAAGAAACAAGGAGAAAAGGAGGCACTGTGTCTGTACCTTGCCCACCTGCCTTACTTACCGAACAGGTGGAATCTGGGGAGTCACAGTTTGATAGCGGGCATGATCAAGGAAGGACGAGAGCCAACGAGTCGCCCGTGAGACATTTCTGTCTGTATACCTGCCTTGCCCACCCACCCGACTCTGTGGAATTTGAGGAGTCACAACCACATAACCAAGGCAAGGTGGAACACGAGCAAGGCAGAAGTACCTACCTTCACACACAGATGATATCCAGCATCTTTGTGTCTACTTCGAGGGCACTTCGGTTCTACTTCCCCCGAATAGATGGGAGTCAACCCGGGCAAATCAAGGCAGAAGTATCTCCACAGATCTTTGTCTACCTTGAGATCTTCTCGGTTGTACTTCCCCCGAAGAATTGGGTATTGAACCCTTTGAACAAGGCAGATGGCAATACCTTCGCTATTTTCGGCTTTTCACCTCGGTCAAAGACGTGAAGGAGGCTGGGGAATCTATGATGATGCCTTCTCCGCGTGGATATACCTGACATTACAGAAAGGGGGGTTAGGCAGCAGGACGCTTCAAAGCGGGTATCCTGTCGTTTCAGTCAATATCGAGGAAAGTTGCAGGAACCACGCCGCTGCTTCCCCCTCGAGACAGCGGTTTGTCGATGTGGCGAGTCCACGACGGCCTATCAGTCAGTATCTTTGGAGGGTGTGGCCACGGGATGGGAGGGACTGGGGAGAAGATGAGAGGAGATGATATTGCTGCCTTGCTCGGGTGCTCTTGTCACCATTTTCCCAACTGAAAAATGAGCAGAGACGCTTGACGGACGGGTTCATCCTTGCAGAGCTGAAGGGGAGTCTGTTGGCTCGGTATGATGTACCATTTTGATGGTTGACCACCGAGGAGACAGGCCAATGGGTGAGCGGATAGTCTTGATCTGGAGGGTTGGTTGTGAGGCCGAGGTATCTGTCGATGTGTATACAACCGTGGCATGGTTGTGTATCTCCCCCAGGCTCCTCAGCCTGTGTGCTGGCGGGGTATCCTTGTCGAATGCAAGTCGTGCGGCACTCGTTCAGTTGTGCATAGCAGTACTGAGCGCATGAGGGAATCCTTCGAGCTGTGGTCAGTATCAAAATGATGAGCACAGTTGAACAGAGGCGGGAGGATGCCATCGATGCAGACCAGTCACGACATCAGAGGACAGAAACCAAAGGAATCCATAAGATACACATCCGAGGAACTGTCCACACGGCTGTGGTGTCACCAGTCAGGATGTAGCTCCAGGGCTGGAACTTCAGCCGACGACCGCCAAGGACTTGGAGCCCGTCTCGCCATCAGGCCACGAAACTGTTGAGGAGTGCCATCACAACATCTTGCTACCGAAGACAAGGCAACTGAAAACTCTGCAACGCCGTGGTCTTCATCCGATGCGGAGATCAGGAAGGAAGCTGGGCAACAAGGCAACCGGCCGTGGCCACCTCGGCCACACCGGTAGATGAGATGGCCTGGCGAGGAAGAAAACGGGCAGGCGAAGACCGCGGTCCGGTTCGCAAATCTAGAACCGGCTCGCTGGACCCTGCCGTTGTCTGTGAAGGGATCTGCGGTCTGGGCAGAGGGGCCTGGCCTGATCTGCTTCCTTCTTTCACGTTCTGCCTTCTTCCCCAGGAGGTAGTGCGTGTCCCAGATTGTCCCCCCATGACGAAGGCCGGTGACCAGGCCGGTAGCGTGGCCCTAGAGTACACCCTGTCTTGGTATACGTAAACCACTCGTCATATCTAGGGGGTGCCAGGGCTCAAAAGGCTAGATATTTCGGGCGGTTCTATTTCAAGGTCACGAGCCGAAAGGCGATGAGGCAGCGAGAAGATGTTTGCGGGTATGGAAATTCGGTCTCGCTTTTCTCGGATGGCAACACCATGGACTTGAACACACATTCCGTGTGACTTCGGCGCTATGCCATCAGTCATGAATATGCCCATGAGGCGACGGGCGGATCACGGCCCGTCGGCCGCTCACTTGTGATCAGCAAAACTTGTTCAAGGTGGGAATCCGGCGATCTGGGCATGTGTTACCGAAGGGGCCCATTTGTGTGAGTTCCCATGGAGTTATCCGAGCGAGGAGGTCGAGCTGCGCCGGTTGTGTCACCACTAGGGTTGGGGTTGACAGTGTCGCGGGTGTATGTTCCTCCTACCACGCCTCCACCACCACCTCCCATCCCTTTCGGATGCCCTTCTGTCTGCCTTGTGGCTTCGGGATGGAAGGGCAAAGAACGCCACCTGAGAATTTGGCGCTTCATCTGACACTCAGGTGCTACACACACCGGCAGAGAGGTGGAATATTGCTGCTGTCAAAGCCGGAAACCAAAGGGTAAGTCGCTTTCCAAAACCCTTCAATTCAAGCATCCGAATCCTAACCTGAGGCCGCTTGTACGTGCCGTACCGCATTGGTGCCCTTTACACTGGTAAAGGTGTGGCTGAGTAGGAAAATAGCCCACGATAATTGTTTTAGCAGGAGAAATAATTCACCAGTGAGGGCTCCAATACCATCCATTACCAGCGTCTGGACGAATAGCACATAATAGATTCGCGCGAGCCTCGTGCGGCTGCATCGTCCTGGAACTGCTGACGAAAGAGAGAGTTGCAATCGCAAGGCTTTGGCCGAGGCCTCCCCTTTGCTCTCTGCCCACCACCTCCTTTGCTCGGCTGGGAAAAGAGGCGCAAAGTTGGCAGGTTGGAGGGTAGTGCTTATGTATGGAACTGGCACAGCAATTAGAGATATGCGGCCTTTTGTGAGCTATCCATACTGAAAAAGAGGGAGGCAATAAGAGGGAGCATCAAGATGTGGATAGCAAGTGCTTACTGCGCCGCACAGCCTCGTCTCCAAGAGCAGGGACGCTGTCAAGCCACACTGACATTGCCGTCACTCCTCCTCCGGACACCCCACACTGGCGTGACCCCGTCGAAAAGGAAGAGGCGGAACAAGATATCGAAATGGATGCCACAGACGATGCGGCTGCGAGATTGTGATGCGGAAAGGAGGACGGAACTCAGCAAAACAAAGGAAAACGCTCAACGACAGGTCAACAGCCTGCTTGGTGGGACGGTCCGGAATGTCGATGCAGGGAAACGGCCGTCGATTCGTCCTCAAGGCTCCGAGAAACAAACAATATTTGACCAAGGAAAGCTTCGATGTTGGCGGTCCGGCTCCGAGAGAGAACAAAGATACGGAAACACAATTGTGTTGTTGGTTGTGGTGGTTGCTACAATGCAATGCTGCGCGCTTCGCACCAGATAATCAAATGTGGGCCCAGGGTTCTCCCACACGCATCGCTGATTGGCTGACATGACCAATGGAGGGGGCTTAGGGCCCAGGCCTCCGGTTACCTCAACTTCTTCTACCAACCAACAATGTCAATGAGTGACCTCACATCGCGTCTATCTCGACAGTTTCGCAACAACCGCCGCACCACTGCCTAAGGTTACGGCCTGTCGATCTGCCGCAACCTCAATCTTGAGACTGATACTCACCTCTCACAATAGCTTGTGAGTTGTCCGTGGTTCCCCATGCCAGAGGCCGAGAACCAATGGATACTCCAACCTCCTGCGGATGCCCTCATCAACTCCACGAACATGTTTGCACTGCCTACTTGAAACACCGACTACATCACAGAGAAATAGTTTTCTCCAGTGGACCACATGCATGCTCATACCCGGACGTCTAGGACTAAGAGTCCACGACGCCAGGCATCAAGATGATCTCGAGCAGTCATCTCTCTCTAGCGGCCGCCAGGATGCACCATCCCAGAAGCAAGTGGTCTAGGGCTACTGTACTCAAGGTGACTAACCTGTCTACTTGCTGACGTTTACCCAATATGTTCCCTCTTCCAGATAATGCCCAGTGTGGCTATGTGCTATACAGAGAGCGCCTTGTCTTCTCACCTCGAACCCCTGTCCACCCTCACCTGCGGCTGTTACATAGTTACACCTTTGACATTACTTTCCACGCTGCAAAGCGTCTTTTAATGTTGTACCTGTATACCATCAGTCATGTCATTCTCTCTTTCTTTCTTTCTTTCCCGTCCCTCCCCGTCCGCCGACTACCTGTTTTGGGGGACCGCAGACCAGACCGGTGCCTGGGAGTCATTCCCATAAAAGATAGGCCTCTTCAGCCGTCCAGCCCTTGGCCGGGTCTCTCTCCCATCTCATTCGCTCAAAGCTACGTACCTTGCCTGACGCACTTACATGCACGATTGCTTGCATCTCCTGCAACCCGGAGCCTTCCCATAGTCACTGCCCCCCATTTTACTTAAATATCGAGGTTCCCACACCGTCTGGTCCCTCGACTTGACCGCTCTTCACCATTCACCTATCTTTAACTCAGTCGTCTACCAACACCGTCACCATTCACGCCTACAGACACATCCGCTCACCAGCAGCCTACATCAACATCTATCCACCACTGAGAGAGACCCCCGCTTCCTATATGTACGGCCCTCGAAGCAACAGAGTGCACTTTGAGTCAACGACACCAGGCGTCCCCGAGGTCCATATTCGTCGCACCCGGAGCGTAAACCGAGGACCTCGCCAGCCTCGCAGTCGTACTCGGAGTGCCGAACGAGTCCACACCCTTTGGGACGAAACACCAGTCGCCGACATGCAGGGCCGTGAACGCGGCGGCGGCGTAAGCCGCGAGACCTACGACCAGCTCTTCCGTGAGAACCACATCCTCCGGGTCCAGGTCCAGGAGCTAGAGGAGGACGTCCGCAAGGAGAAGGCCTTCAACTCGGAGCTTCGCCGCTCAGTCGAAAGCAACTCTGACAGCGAAGCCCGCAAATCGACAAAGCTACGCGAGGCCCGCAAGAAGAATGCCCTTCTCGAGCTCGAGAACAGCAACCTCACGACCAAGATCCGGGACCTCAGCCGTCAGCTCAAGGACGCTCTTGAGGCCAAAGCGAGATATGTCGGCACTGAGTACGAGACCATGAAGCAGCAGGTTGCTGAGTGGCGCCGACGATACGATGACGCCAACCGCCGCATTGACCGGATGCGTGACAATCTCGATGAGCACATTGCTACCAACCGGGTGCTTCAGGCCGAGGTCGAGACGCTTCGGAGGGAGAATGAGCGGCTACGGCGACGTCACCCTTGAACGGTTTTGGAACTTGAGGACAAAACCATTCGCCGATGAGGCGTGTACATTACGACAGACATTTCCTTCTCGGGCTTCTCGCGGTCATCAGCGGTTGTTTCTCTGAGCTATACATTGGATGCCGGCTTGATGGGGATGAAAGAGTGAGTCAGTTCGCCGATGACTTGGCAACCTCGAATACTAACCATTCGATCAGAAAACCAGAAAAAAAGACAACATCGACCTCAACATATCAAGCTTTCTTTGCTGCACCTCAGATTGTTTTCTCAACTTTTCCTTCACGATAACTACATTTGGCTTTTTCTTACAACGACATATTTTCGGTTTTGGGTATTTTTTGATGGATCGCTACAGAATAGCACGAACATCCCTTTTTTTTCACTTCTTGTACGAATAATGATAAGGTATCACGGTATGGGGGGGTTTGGGAATTGCTGCGGTTTGCTTTTGGACTTTGTTTTCTTGGGATGGTTTAGAAACGTTACAGAATTTGACGTATGGCAGCACGTAAAGATGCAATAGACGGAAGCAAACTTTCACGACAGCAGGGACAGGGAATGGGTGGGCCAGGGCAGCAAGAGGGATATGCCTCACAGCAGAATATGAATATGGATTTTTTTTCTTTTTGATACAAATACTCCAACAGAACAATCGTCACACACAAAAAACCGGATCACAGCAGAGCCGAGGCAGACAAAAAAAATAGACTTTTTTTTGGAGATATTGTACAACATGATCTATACACGTGGTTGGTGTTTTTAGAGGGTTTGTGAGACGTGATGAGTGGTTTTGTCTTTTCATGAAGAACAGAGGGTTTGAATCTCTACAGTATCGGTAAAGAGATGGGATTTGGTTGGTTGGTTGTTGGTGGTGGTGGTTACTCAAGACTGCTTTGCCGAACTGACAACCGTATTTGTTTCGTGTTACCGAGACACAAAAAACAGGACATATTAATAATGGGGCCAATATCAACCTTGGCTTCAACCCCTTCGGAAGTATGTTTCGATATGATATCGCAACGGAGTTTCTTGATCATGACAGCTGAGGTTGAGGGGGCATTCCGTCAAGGAAAATGGTTTAAACTGGTCGGTTTAGGCAGGCTCCAGGCAGGCAGAGGGGTTTTCCCCACATTTTCCCACACACCAACATTTCGAATTATGTCTACTCGGGGTTATGATTTCTGTATTTGCCTAATTATTATTTTGGGTCACTTCCCCAGGTGCGTGTGTAGTGGCGAACATGAGCTAGACTTCGGACTGTGGGTGAGTGAGAGGACCGCACGCCTTACACGCAATCTTCCATACCTATCTCAACACCATCCGGATAAGGGTACCGCACATCTGGGAATCCTTCCTGATATGATATGAATCCTTCCGTCTACACCTGACGGCTTTACCTTGCTTTGCGGTCCCGTTCCCCTCCCACCTCACCCCTAGAAAATCTACGCGGCCTCCCCCTCGCGGCTTCGGCTCCTCCTTGCCGGGGTCCTCGCCGTTGACTACGCCGCAAATCCCCAGTCTACGTATGCAGTCCAGATGTCAAAATAGCCGAAGCCGATGAAAAACAGATCGAAGAGGACCAAAAAGACAGACGTCACGAACCAACAGCTCTCATCGGCTGTGCAAACTACCCTGGTTGAGGCTCAGAGTGGGGATCTTGCACAGCAGAAGGATTCTTGGTATGCATCATGCAGCGCCCTTGTGTCGAACGAGAAACCAAGCCCGCCCAAATCCACCCTGCTGGAAAGGAGGGGGAATGACGAACGATGGCGATTGTGGAACGAAAACAAATACGAGATCGAGTTAGCTTCACCAGCCCCCGTGATGGATGTTTTAGATTTCAGGTTGCACAAAAACAACTGATTTGACATCGGAAGTACCGCCCGCGCCCGGAGAAGGGACCTTGCCCGTGGAACAACGGGCAAGGTGAGACGGTGATACCCTCGCTCGCCTCACCTTGGACACAAACATAAACATGGCAGATTTCCCCCATCCGCCTCATGGCGCCTACCTACAGGTAGGAACATACCTACCTACCTACCTACCTACCTTACCGGTGGGGTTTGTGTCGAGATTCCAGACCGGTAGGGCTATTCATCCGGTGTAGCTGCCGCCGCCGTCAGCTCAAGATTGTATGGATAGGATGAGGTGACGCCTGGCCGAACTGAAACGTCTGCACCTACAGCCCGAAAAAGGGAAACCCACACCTCGGTGTTAACAAGCTTCCCTTTTTCGAACGTGCATACAAACCCCATAGTTCAGACCACTGTATCTCGCACGCGCAAAAAATACGCACCTGCGCACGCACTCACCTTGGCATCTCTCACCTACTGACCTGCTTCACCTTTATCTGGTCTATCTCCCCGAAATCAAAAAGTCCTACCCGGAAGCCATTACCTCCTCCCCCGCAATTTCACAGAGATAGATCGATAAAAACCGCCCGGAGGCGAGAGAGAGCGGAAAATCCCCGTGTCAACCAACCACCACGGATACCACCCACCCATCATTCTACCCTCCTCCGGACAATGCTCGTGCTGGCCGCACTCCGGACTCGGACGTAGCACTCGATAGCACTGTCGACAGATGATAGATAATCTATCCCTCATGAACATGCTATTCCCTGTTATCCATGTCTCGATCCCCTTTGTCTCTTTTATAGATAGATGTCTTGTTTGTGTCGTGTGACACATCTCGGCAGCTACATTACATATCGGAGGATTTTCTGTGACAAGAACAGGGAGGGTGGAGTGCGCAATGGCGCTTTTTTGAAATTACATACCCTATCTATCGCGCTCATATGAGCGGAGGAGGATCAAAAAGATGAAGGAGGGGTGAAGAAAAGTGCGGGGTGGGGCATGGTGGTGCGGGGCAGCAGTGAGAATCACTGCAGGCGCAACGCAACGCAAGGCATCAGCCGTCCGGCTGCTGCTCGTCGATCCCCATCCGTCCTCGTCGCAAATGCGCGCGCGGTTGGTTGGGAAGGGGAGGGTAAAGTTGCATATGTACATGAGAAAGCTAAAGAAACATTGGCTTGGCTTGAGTCAACCGGCAGAGAGAAGAAAGTGACCTTCCGGGCCGGGGTGGGGCAGAAGAATGTGGTGACCCTGACGGAGCTCCTGTGATGGCGGGAAGAAGAGAGTGGAACGGAGGAGTAGTTCCACTTCTCTCTCGGCGTGTGGGCGGCGGCGGAGTCACTGGTGGGTTTGATGGAGCAAACCCGTTTGGTGGTTCTCCATCGATGGTAGGGCTGGGATGGGGTTACGGGGATTGGTGATGATGCTTCTTGATCCTTCCAGGTAACCGTGCTGCTGCCGGCAAAAGAGTCACGGAACCCATGGTGAGCTGAAGCGTTGCGTACGGATGTAACATGGTGCTGGGTGAGTGATCACTCAGGAGGGAAAAAAGACAGGTATGTGCTGCGGGAATCTAGATCGTGGGTTGTTATCAGATGGTGTGATTTGGAGGAGTACGGAGGACGGAAGGAGCGGTATCAAGTGATGGTGATGTCAAAGGTTGGGCAGGAGCGATGGTTATGGGGCACATGACGGTATATCGTGATGTTTGATCCTGTTTTGCCATCTGGACAACCTCTTGTTGAATCCGATCAACTGGTGATGGTCTTTCCCCTGCCATTGCTTTGGGTGGAGCTCAGCCCTATCCATTTCTTCGAGAACAAACAGGGGAGTCCACACACTCGAGCGCAGGCCTGGCAGAAAACGGTCAACTGACCATGGCGGGTCGGGAGCTAATCAGAACACGAGTCCTCTTGGGATTCCATGAGACTGCAAATCTGAAACACACAAAAACAAGCAGAAGATGAAGGGGGAAAAAGGGCTGCATGGAACGCATAAATGTGGACATCCTATAACCGACAATTACGGTGACTCACCGTCCGTCGCGCTACTCCATGGCCCAACACCACCAACAAGCGCGCCCTTTCTTCTATTTCTGGCTTGTGGCCGTCTGAGCTCTGTGGTTGGTTATCCCAAGACAAAAGTGCAATTCTTCGTCGCCGACTTCATGATCACAAAGAGACTGTCGTGCGCCCGCCACGGCCCGCCGTACCCTCCTCCCAGTGTCGTGGTTCGCCAGACGGACGGTGCGACCGCTTGATATATGGTGTGGTTTTTGATATGGATGGGAGAATCTCCACACACACGTCCCGCAAAAAAGGGGGGAAAAAAACCCTCGGTGTAAGAAGACATTCGGACTGGAAGCTTGGCATGCTTGGACCTTGTGTGACAGGCAGAAGAAAACTGCCTTGGTGACAGGCAGAGGCGCCAGGCTCTGGTGGTGGTTCGCAAAGGATTCCGGAGCACTGCCGCACACCATCTCTCGTCGCCTTGCTGATTGAGCCACATTCGAACACGGATTTTTGTTGTTTGAATGCCCAGGACTGGCTGGTACCTAGGGTGAGCGGACGGAGAAGAGGGGGAATAAAATCTCACTGACATAATCCACCACCATTTGCCCAAAAGCGTCAAGTTTGAGTTGGTAGCCGGGCGGTGCTCCGTCGCGCAGTCGATTTGTCCAGTTTAAGTCCAGTGGTCCTTGAATTCGTAACAGGCGCGAGGCAACAGCGCCGGACCCCTCCCAGAGCCTCCCTCCCTTCTGATTCTTAAGAGGAGAGAGGTGTGTGCGACGGTGAGAAATTCGGCCTTTTCATTCTTCCTCCTGCACACCAAGCGAGATTTTCGTTCCTGACCTGGGGCTAAATCTGGTTTTTTTATACCCTCATTCTCGGTTAGGCTCTTTAGTGCTCTTTATCGTTGAGGCCCAACCCGACTCCGAGACACCACCCATTCTTGGTCTTTTTCTAGCCTTGGAGCACTTTTGTTCCCGCCCTTCCGCCCCTTGTCCAAAGTACCCCCTGGTCTGCCGGGGCCGCCTGTGCCATCTGTGCCATTCGCCCAATTTCTTCCCCTTTGGCTCGTTCCCGCGCACATTTTTTTTTCTCACTTATATACCCCCAAGTTCCAGTCGGGCACCTCTGCAGCTCCT